CTCTACTGAAACCCACTAAGTAGGTACCTGGGTGGGGTGCAGTTCGCGGCCCTCGATATCGCCGACCAGTCCCAAACGAGCTCGAGGTTGGATGGGAAGGAAAATTTTTGCCGTGTTTGAGGGGGGGTTCGTCATGCAAGTTTTCTACTCGCTTTATTTCGTTCTTTTTCTGTTTCTCGGCCGTGCAGCTGGCAGTGACAGACAGCACAGTGATGGGGTTTCAGGGCTCTTGGCGGGCCGGAATGGGATTGGTGGATGGTGGGGTGGTGGGGTGGTGCCACTGCTGGATCCGTCTGATGATTGAGTGATGATGATGATGATGATGGTGGGTGTGGCTGTGGCTGTGCTCCACACGGGACTAATGGGCTTGGAGCTTGGCCTTGAGCTTCTTGTTTGTTTGCTGGATGCTGGAACTATTGGGATTGAGCTATAGTTTACTGCTTTTTGTCATGGATTTATAATTATTTGTAGCTAGTGAGGGGTCGGTTTCGTTTGAACTGCACACACATTATTACCCTCAAGCGCTCCAGCCAGCTGGCCGGCCTCCGGGCTGCACCGACGGCGGCGGGGTGTAGCTTCTAGACCACGCCGACCGAGCGATCCCGACAGGATTGACAGGCCTTTCGCTTCTGGCCGCAGAAGAAGAAGCACCTCAGAAGCAGCGGGCAGCGGGGCGCTAGGCATGCAGGGCCCCCGGCTCGCTCGATGGCCTGATGGAGGGGGGTGGGGTGGGGCATCTCGGCACCGATTTTACGTACACGTCTGAGAAAAGTTTCCTGGGCGTGCTTGATAGATTAGTTGATTCATGATTGATCCCTTGATTGAGTGATCGACTGATCCCAGTTGCTGGCGCATTTATACCTGACGGCGAGGAAAAAGAAAAGGGAAAAAGGTAAAGATGAGAAAGAAGAGAAAAATGGAAGGATCTGATTATTTTTATTGGCACATAATAATTGCTTGTCCTGGCCTGGTTATGGATGGAGGGATGGGGGTACTTTTTTTCTTCACCTGCCTGCCTGGATACTTGGCCGGCCTGGCTTGTGTTTTTTTTTTTTCTTCTTTTCCTTTCTCTTCCCGCCGGCCTGTTTGCCATATGTGACTCCACCCCCATCACTTTTACCCGCCCGATGGGCCTGCCCATATCGACATTCTGCACTCTCAAGGGAAATCGGATTGATGTTGGAGTTCCAATCCAATTGCGCCCGTATCACATTCGTATATAACGTTTGTGCGCTGTGTTGGCTCTTGGGTCTGCTGCGGGGCCGCGGGTGCGGATATCGATACGGCTACATCCACGAGAACAGCTGCATCCGATATATTATACATGTACACAGCATGTGGGAAACGAAAACATTTATAGATTCAGAGAGATGTACAACTTTTATTAAGGGCCTAATGAGCCGTTGGTGCGCATGTGCGCATCTGTTCCATCGCACAGAGATCTTGAGAAGCCTTGGCTTATATCAACTCGAATTCAGGCGCATGCCGTAGCCAACAGGCAAGCTGCAAGCACGACATGTCCTTAACTCGCAAATACAATCATGCGCCGGCCGGTGGTGGCATCGCAATGCCGCAATTGCTCTAGCATCCGAGTATCCTCAAATTTGTCCCCCCCTCCCCTCCCTCCGAGGAGCCCGCCATAGCCACTGCCAGGACGCAATCGCAATCACCTCCACCATGGCCACCACCACCACCATTACCATTCCCAGCAGCAACCTGAATGTCGACACCCCCCCTCACGCTTCCCACCCCTCCCCCTGAGACCGCCCCCTACGCCGATGGGCCTCACCCCTCCCACGCTCCGTCCGTCCCCGGGGTGGGATTGTTTAGCAGCCAAAATTGTGTCCCGGCAAGCTCGCAAGCTGCTTGAAAATTGCCAACTCGCTGGGCCAAACGCCAAACGCACAGGCACTGTCTTTGCCCCTGCTCTTCTCTGGAACGCCCCTCCCATATGCCCCTCCCATATCCCCACCCCCCCACCGCCAAAAATGCCCCTCATAACCCCTCCCCGCTCCGTTTGCATTGTTTGCGACTAATGGGCAAAAGTGGTGCCACCGGAGGAGAGGGAGAGGAGATGAGGAATGCTAGCTGTCAAAGTACTTAAGCAAGGGCGGATAGCATCATGGACTGTGCTCCGTTTGAACTGCTCGGCTCCTAGTCTTTCACTTGGAGAACTTTGCTCCGACATCACCTGCCCGCCCAAAGCCACAGTCCAGTACTAGGCTCGTAGATCCTCAACGGCCTGAGTCTTTCAGCACCATCACCGCATCCCACCCGTTGGCTTCCGAGCTTCTAATCTGGCGTTGGGCGAGCACGGGATCATCGCGCACTCGCTTCACTTCGGCTCCGGGCTCTGCTCGTCACCAAGGTCACCGGCCTCCGCCGTCGCTCTTACCCACCCACACTCCTTCGGGCCCCAACCTCCCTCGAGCTAGGTGCACCTGGCGAACGATATAATCCCCCAGAGCCCGCATTCGGTATTGCCAACTTCTTGTCCATTACCTTCGAATTTTCAGAAAGAAGCTCAACTCAGCATCATGATTCCGCCAATTCCCAACCTCGAGGATTACTCCATCTCATACACCAATGGATTTCTTCCAGACAAAATGCCTCTACGGCGGCTTCCTGACCGCTACTACGAGGCATGGGAGGACATTGTCGACAACCTTCAAGCCTTGATCCTAACAAAGCGGATACGCTCAGCAGTCAACATGCTACCAATACTGTCACATTCTCGATTGCATACCGAGCCAGAGCTTCAGAGAGCATATTCAATTCTTGGATTTATAGCTCATGCCTACATTTGGGGAGGAGATCGACCGGCACAGGTGAGTTTTGAAGAATCCCGTATGACCGTTGCATTACTGACTCGGCTCACGTGCTACAGCGTTTACCTGCTTGTTTATCCATACCATTCCTTCGAGTGTCTGAAAGGCTGGAAATCATTCCAGTTGCATCATATGCCGGCGTTGCCCTTTGGAATTATCGAACTCTTTTTGGCTCAATCGACATTGACGATCTACGAAGTCTTGCAACTCTACAAACGTTTTCTGGAAGTTTGGACGAATCATGGTTCTATTTGGTTTCTGTGGCAATTGAAGCACGTGGGGCACCAGTTGTCCCAATGATGCTCGATGCCATTGCTGCTGCTCGAAGGGGGGACACACACACGGTCATTGCGTTCTTGACCTCCTTTGCGGAGATCTTAGAGGAGCTCACCGGGCTCCTGGGTCGCATGTACGAGAACTGTGACCCTCATGTCTTTTACTACAAGATACGGCCTTTCCTTGCTGGATCAAAGAACATGGTTGATGCAGGCCTTCCTCATGGGGTATGGTATGAGGATGAGGACGGAAAAGGAATGTGGAGGCAGTTTTCGGGCGGTAGCAACGCTCAGAGCTCGCTCATCCAAGCATTTGATATCATACTCGGTATTGAGCACAGGCCCACCGGTACTAAGAAACCCGAAGCGAGTGACGTGCCACCCCAAGGCATAACTCCACCACAAAAACACAACTTTATACAGGTGCGTTATATTATTGGCCCTCTTAATTGCATATTTTTACCTCATAGATTCCAGGGGGAGGGGGACTTGAAAGCTAACAGTCTTGTTTGTAGGAAATGAGGGATTACATGCCCGGTCCACACCGCCGCTTCCTGGAGCGCCTCACAGTTGTTGCCAACATTCGACCGTACGTTGAGGCGCGCAAAGATACCGATAAAGCCCTATGTGATGCGTTCGACTCGTGTCTTGCGATGCTCCGTGGGTTCCGGGATAAGCACATTCAAATCGTCAGCAGATACATCATCATCCAGGCTAAAGCAGCCAAGAAAAACTCGTCGCCAGCGACCGAAACAGCAGGAGCAGGAGAGGGAACTACCCGATCGAGCGCACATGTCGGCTCGTCGGACAAGAGGCTCACGTCGACGACCGCGCCGCCGCAGAAGGCTAACCTTGCAAGTGCAGAGGCCACTAAGAAGGGTCTCACGGGTACAGGCGGGACAGCCCTCATCCCCTTTTTGAAGCAGGCCAGGGACGAGACGGGCGAGCCTGCTATCGGCCCGATCGCCAAGAGGCTGTTTTTTGGGGGTGCAGCGACGAAGTCATTGCCGGCTACTTACGGCAATAATAATAATAACAGCAATTCCGGAACGGAGTTTTCTGCTGACGCGCCACCGCCCATGGTTGGGCTGGCGGGGTATTGGCTGGAGAGTAATGATTATGGTGGACTGTGCTCGTACTAAATCTGGAAGGAGCCTTTTCTTTTGTGTGTGTGTGTGTTGTCTGTCTCGAAAGATATCTCCGAGATAGAGATTGTCCCGGTTGTTGGGCCGGTTGTTGGGTTTCCCGAGGTTGTTGTTGATTGCTGGGGTTTGATATCGGGTGAGAGGATGGGAAGGGATCGATCGCAATTATGACATGACATATGACAGGTTGGCAGGTCATGAATCAGAACCACGTTGTTTTGGGTGTCTGATCTGATTACTTGCTTGGTGCCTACTCTACTAAATTTTATTAATGACGGCGTTTTTTTTTTTTTCTTCTTCTTTTTCTTAAGTTACCAATTTTCTTGTTTTTGTTTTTTATTTTGGCCTTTTGGAATTTTTGGTTGTTTGGTATTTTTGCAATTGGTGGTGGCTTGTCCTTTTTTTTGTCTCTTTTTCGATTTCGTTTATCGTATCTCTTTGTTTTCGAATGTACCGACTTGTATCGATATCGTCCGCTTACTTACCCTCTTTTTTTTTTTTTTTTCTAGCATGCGCACGCGCAGCATTCTGCAAAATTTTGACTGTTGTTTTTTTCTTTTTAGTATCCTCATTCCACATCATAAATGTTTACAATTAGCTATAGAATTTTACGGAATCTAACATACCAAATGATTTTGATCGTGTCTAGAGGTTTTCATTCCACCATCACATTCAGAGAAGCAAGAATGAAATTCACGATCACGATCGTACAAAAACACATACAAAGAAGTACAAAAAAAAGAAAAAAATCATGACCAGTGAGTGATTCGAACACCCAGCCTTTCGCTGCCGCCTACTCGATCCCTTTTGAGGAGGATCGAACTGGAGGCGAACGCGCTACCATTGCGCCAACCAGCCAACTTTTTCATGTGTGTTGGGGTGGGTGTGGGGTGTTGGAGGTAAAGAGGTGTTTAGCCGTGGGATGGGTTGGATCGCGGAGTCTCGGTGGTAGGTAGGGGTGGGTTGGTTGGTGGGGTGGGGGGGATGGGGTTGGAGTTCAGGGTAATGGTGGTTGGTTGGGGGAAGGGGGGCGGGGGTGCGAGGTGGGAGAGCTGGGCTTTGGAGTTTCTTTGGGTTTGGTTATATTTATCATTGACTTTGTGCGATATAGCTAGGCGAAGTTACAGTCGGCCGGCCCGTCCTTTGTGTCGAGGATATTTTAAGTTGAGTTCAGGGTAATAGGTAGCGGAGAACCCGTGTGTGTGTGTGTGTGTGAATGTCTATGGACTCGATTCCCAAGTTGTGTGGACTGTAGATATCTGCTATATATCCAGATCTAGAATTTCCCTTCCTCGACTTGATTGATATTCATGATCATTAAGAAATCGATTTCGTATAAGAGTATAGATCTAAAGATTCATACAACGAGACTTTACATCATATATATACCGACCACAATTCGAGGGGAGCAAATTGCTTAAGCTCGTAAGTAGATAGGTTTAGGGGGAAGAGCGAGAGGAGTTAGTTTTTTTATTGTATGGATGGACGAGAGAGAGAGGAGTTTGCAATTGTGTTTCTTCTTCGAATCATGGATATCGAATTTTTTTGGGACCTTTCGAAATAGTCTCGTGTTTCGAAATTGAGTTATGATTACCGACTTGGGTAAGTACGGCTGTGGGAGCTCAAGAACACGACATGGGGGTTTAGGTAGAAGGCTACAAGAACACTACAATAAGAGCTCAATTTCTTCTAGCTCTCGGCGTACCGAGTGAGTGAGTACTATGGCAGCGGAACACGTTCCTCCATCCATCCATCCATCCATCCATCTACCCATGAAATTGTTCCAACACCCATACCCGGGTAAAGTGCCCCAATCCCAAAAGTAAAGTGTGCTAAAGTACATAAAGATCAAGACCCATCGAGCCGCAAAAATAATTGACCAGTGAGTGATTCGAACACCCAGCCTTTCGCTGCCGCCTACTCGATCTGTGAGGAATCGAACTGGAGGCGAACGCGCTACCATTGCGCCAACCAGCCATATTTCTGTTCCATTTTCAGGCTGTACAGATCTATGAGCGTATAATTCAGGTGATTTGTATCTTCTAGATATAGCACAGGGGGGTTTTGAGGCGGAGATGGAAAGTTGGTTGGGATTTGGGATTTGGGATTTGGGATTTTGGGAATTGTCTGTAGATTGGTTGATCATGATCTTGCGGCACATGTATGCTGAGCCAATGCATGCATATGTATCGTTCTTTTGTATTTACTCAGATCTTGATAGTACGGTTATAGTGATTAAGTAGGTAAACGTTGGCTTTCAAGGGCTCGAGATCGATTGGACAGGAAATGGAATTCGGATTCCATAATGCTACAGTTAGTTCGAATTCATTTGCTTTTCCATGTTCATGATCAGGTTTTTTATATACTTATGTATCATATCTTCGATTCCAAAACATGGTACATGGCACATAAAGACAGGTGAGCGAAGTTAATAGGGAATTCGAAGCGGGTAGGCAAATCCTTTCCGAATCCCCGAGCCGAATGAACAAGGGCCACGCGCTGCAAGATCGTTTTTGCGCATGTTTGTGATTTTAGTAGTAGAATTTAGAGGGTTAGACTACCTATTAGGTGAATATATAGACTGTATGTGCGCTGGGCCGCTCATGGTTTTGTGCCGCCCATATTGGGAGGCATACGTACGTGCTATGCCTCTCACCAATTCTCTCAACCAATTCAACTAGTTTCGTGCCCAATTGAACCCTATTTTGACCTGCCAAGTACGGAATTTGCAGGATTTATTCTAGCAAATATTTGTAGCCTCGTGCTTCGATTTTAGAAATATAAATATTGAATACAAAACCTATAAAAACCAACCATTATTTTCATCTAAGAGTGTTCTAATGTTTGCATGCATATTAGTATTATCCATTGAAATTGTGGTCAAGAAAAACACAAAGGAAAACTGACAGGCATAGGAGGTATGCTTCCCACGGGCGGCACAAAACCACGAGTGGCTCAGCACATATGTTCGTTTACTAGGATAGGTATTTTGCAAGTTCATGCACCAATATGTCGGTCTACGTGCCGTCCCCAACTGCAGAATATACTTACCGTACTTGGGTGGATATACTTGAAGAATGTGATCGTAGAATATAGTTGCGTGTCAAGATTACTAGATATACATGCATCAACCTAGGTACTAGCTACTGATTATTTATAACTAAGATATATATCGAGTTCAATGCTAAGTACTTTTTCTAATGAAGTACGTTGGCTCATGATCACATAGTCGATCTCGTGGTTGACAAGTTGACACGACATCGCACCGGCGCCATATACAGCCTGCTTCAGCCATGTGCAATGGAAGAATATTGTTGGCTACACGGATATGACATTCTATTAATTCATGAAAAAATCTAAGCTCAAGCTTGAGGACGCATTGATTGATGTTGTGTGGGTAGTATGGGTCCCCTCGTTGGTACGGGCCGGGCTTACCAATGGTAAAGCTGATACCTCATTTGGGCGTTCTGATGCGGGGGTGGTACAAAAAAGACGGCACACATGCGAACTCCCACAAGCGGTAATATCATGTAGTTTTAGCTTACTTGGCCAATTGGCCGTAATTCCGTGAGGAGGCTACTTTCCCCTGGCCTCGTCCCCACCATCCCCTCCTCATCCTCCTGAATGAAAGAAAGAGACGTGAGACTTTCATCCACATGTCGAACCAGGACCACCGGCCTAGGCGAGGTAATTTGGAGGCTAACACCGGAGAACCCCTACAAGCTTCCAATCCTCAATGCATGCTCTCTACGTATACGTTCTCCTCACGATCGAGCAAACCTAGACCAAGCTTCCAATTCGAATTTCCATGCCGTCAGAGGTACTAAGTACCTACCTAGGTACTCTACAAAAAAAAGAGGTGAGACAAACCCCAGCAAACGCTAGAAGGAGAGACAAAGATCTAGCAGATTCCTGCGGCTTGGAAAATACATGTGGCTAACTTGTAAGAAGCTCAAGAGCACCTAGGAACCCCCCCCCCCCCTGGCTTCTAATAGCTGCAGCAGCTGTAGCTCAAACACTGAGGGTACAGTAGTTCCTCGCATTAGCGGCTATATATATCTTTTCATTTACATCTGATGCTCAATGATGGAGATTTAGAAGAAACGTGAGTTTTACGAAATCAATTTATATATACATGAACGTATACGTCTTTTATTATGATATCGACTGACAATCTGATCATTGTCATGATATTGATATTCAAACTAGATGCTTACTTGGAAGCTTAATTAAGACCTTGACTGCACAACACGCAACCCGCTTTTACCGAGAAGCTCGGTACCATGGCTTCAGAGTTGCTCGAACCCACGGAACTGTACCTGTCCATGACGATCTGCATGCATTGGAAACAAGATATTAAGAAGCAAGAAGATGAATTGGATGCTTATATTTGACATGCATGCATAACTAACGAAATTTGTACTTTACAGAAACCAATAAATCATTCCTAAACAATGCTCTTCCACTCCGCCTGGAAAGGAACGATATACCAACATGGTCGGCAGATATACGCATACAACTAAAAATACTGCAATCGTACTAGGATTTATATCACAACTAGCACTCGAACCAAACCCACAATCTCATCAATGATCGACTGATACTAGTCTGAGGATTCACCGTGATTCAGGTGTGCAAAACTCGTAAGGGGGCCCGGGACAGGTCCGAAAGGAGATGGCATAAATTTACAAGATCATGCGACCTCACGAGCAGTCATCTATTCTAGGGAAAAGAATAATATACTGACGTTGGAGGTAAGTGATCAAACCAAAGTGCATAATCCAAGATTATACATGCTAATTAGATGCAGACGTCCAAAAACCCAGATTCAGTCAATCAATATCACAACCTACTTAAATTCAAATCACATTCACTAAAGTGATATGTAAAGAGCATACACATGGACGTAGGCCAATATTGTACCTCAATATCCATTCATCCACACACTGGTTCACGAAACCCAATGCTAACAAGGCATGATATCTCTTCCGGATATCCGCATATTCCGTGTTGCATCTCATTTCATCTCAATACATACATGCATCAGCTGGGGGGTTGCCTTTATCGATATGCAACACCACCCAGACACACTATCTCCAGCTATCTCGTGTTACCTCTATGCATCCATGCACTTCCCACACGCCCGGTCTCGTCCTCCGCCCGCCGCAGCCCCCTGGGAGAAAGAAAAAAAGGTACACAGCCATGGCCCAGCTATATGCATGCATGCATAATCTATAGAAAGTGGAAATATACACATACATTATATTATAGTACGTCTATGCTTTATTATATCATGACGTAGAAGCATTCGCGGCCGAATTCGTTCATGTGAAGCGTGCTAACCTTTTTGCATGTGCAGGCCTTGTGAATTTTATACAAGGATACGATCGTGCCTACTGGTACCTAAGGATGGCCTGAGGAAGTTTGGCTAGAATGATGGCAGAGGTATACGTATTTCCAAATGCAACATGCCCCCTTGAGAAATAATTACGATCAGGCATAAAACAGCACTGCCACAGAAATCCAGCTGAACAACTCATTTATCATCATCATGGCTCTGGATCTCCCAGCTCAGGACTTGGGTGGAATACTTGGTAGAAGTATACTGGGTTGGTTATACGCCTTCACTATAGCGCTCGCCACCAACAACAACGTGCAGGACGAAATTTTTGAAAAAGCGACGCCAGAACTCAACAACCACGAGGCTTCCGACGTCGGTTTTTGGACCGATCGATTCCTCTTGCTCCCACGAGCAAGAATATCCAACTTTTATTTGGGGGACGAGCCTCCCTCAGATTCCCCCCTTGGGGTCTATTCCCAACTACTTTTCCACAAACTCAACCTAAATCTCCTACGTG